ACATACAAGCATCTTTCGTTGTTGTAAAATTTGGTGCCGTGACCCGGATATGTAGGAGCACACTGTTGGGCTGAGCGTGGACATGTAGGTGAGCAGTGATTAGGGTTAGGTGTGTCTCTAGGTGTGCGTGCGCCTCTTTAGCATAATAATAGACACTATGTGGCTCACAGCAGGGGAGCGGGGGATTTAGAGGCCAAGGTCTCCTGCGCAAAAAAGCGCAGCCTTAGTCAAATTAGTGTCAAATGACCTGTCGTAGCCTTGTTCACCGTATGAAGACTGCTGATATGCGTATTCTCCATGACCTGTACAGAACATGATTTAGCACATGTAAAATGTACCCCTTAGAAGCAATATGGAAAAGAAACTTCTGTCCCCCGACTACAGCTCAAAACACAGTATCAGCAACAACACAGAAAACAAAACTGTCCCTCCTTTCCTCAAGTTGTTTTAGAAATCTGAAGTTTCAGCACACCAAGGGGGTCAGTATGGACACAGACACACTGGTAGACAAAATTGATAGTCATTTTCAGACTTTGGCATTTTTCTATTTTTTATTTTTCAAAGATAAATGGTGTGTGGGAGGAAAAGCACAAGCTTAATCAGTAAATCTGACTCAGAGTTATGGAAGTGCAGAAATGAAAAATCATGTGTTTGAGAGCTGTGTGTACAAATCTTATGGATGTGCACCATTACCATCAGCGTAATACTGCTGGTTTATGGGCTCGTTGGAGCTCTGAGTGTGTCCATACTGCTCTCCGTAGAACTCGTCTTGTCCCATGTAGTGTTGTGCAGATCCTGCAAGACAGGCGACACTGCGATCGGTTAAACAGCCAGGGGTGCCTCCAGAAAGTTTTCAAAAGGATGGCTGGATGGGCCACTGTTAATCTCAGGGTGACACACCAAAACCAGTTGTTTTATATATGTCATGTATAGGGTGATGTGCAGAAACTCCAGATTTTAGTTCTTACAGTTTTATAGATGTGTTCTTATCCAACTAATTAAGAAAATTGCCAGAACTAATTTTCCTAAAAGATGTAGCTAGGAGTCATTTTGTTTCCAAACCACCATGCCAAAACAGAATTACCACAGAAAACTTGTCTATTTGAACTTCTGCAAAATGCACTCACAAATACATAAAGATATGACCAAATACAGGTGGAGCTAAAGCAATAGCAACAGTCCAATAACCAATCAGATTGCTATGGATGCAATCATTACATCATGCAGCACCATCATTTAAAATAATAATGCACCAGAGTGCATGATGATCTACTATGATCTGTTGACCTGGAAAATAATATTTAGTGCACGAGTCAAACTCTAGGTCTGTGGGCCAATTTTTGCCACCCACTGAATTTATAGTTAGGTTATATGGCCTGCCAGAGCTTCAAAGCAGTATTAATGTCTTGAAATATGCTGCTTAAAAGCTAACATTGACTACATCTTCTATAATGCATATTGATTACCCACAAAATGACAGCATCCCACCACTAAGTGGAGGTGCACAGAGTTCTAAAGTATCTGACAGTTGGTAAAATTCAGAGTACTTGTGTAAAATCTCCATTTAGATGCATTTTCACCTGCTGCTTTTGTTGTGGCCCAGTTGTACTAGGAAGTAGGGATGTCCCGATCCAGACTTTTTGGCTCCCGACACAATCCAATTTTTTTTAATGATTAGTCTTTCTGATACCGATCCGATAGCTTTATTTATTTTTTTATTTCTTTCCAAGTGACAAGGTTGGTAGTCTTAAAGCAAGCCCTGCTGTTCCCACCTTGAGAAACATCCAGTTTGCAGATTTTGCAAGATGCAGTTTCAGCATCATTGTTTTAAGTGTTCCCACACTGTGGACATGGTTGCATACTTGTGTGCGTCTTGACTTCTTAACGGCAGTTGTAAAGCACGATGATGCTGAAAACTGTCGCGAAAACTGGATCGGCCCTATCACGACTAAATCCGATTCTAGCTGATTTTCAAAAAAATATCTATATCTGCCACCAATACCGATACTGAGTATCTGATTGGGACATCCCTACTAGGAAGTGGGAATTTCCCCACTTACAGTGGTTTGCAAAAGTATTCATACCCCTTGAACTTTTCCATATTTTGTCACATTACAACCACAAACATAAATATATTTCACTGGAATTTAATGTGAAAGACCAACACAAAGTGGTATACAATTGTGAAGTGGAAGCAAAATTTTACATGAATCAAAACATTTTTTACAAATAAAAAACTGAAAAGTGCGATGTGCAAAATTATTCAGCCCCCCTGAGTCAATACTTTGTGGAGCCACCTTTTGCTGCAATTACAGCTGCAAGTCTTTTAGGGTATGTCTCCACCAGCTTTGCACATCTAGTGACTGCAATTCTTGCCCATTCCTCCTTGCAAAACAGCTCAAGCTCAGTCAGATTGGATGGAGAGCGTTTGTGAACAGCAGTTTTGAGATCTTGCCACAAATTCTCAATTGGGTTTAGGTCTGGACTTTGACTGGGCCATTCTAACACATGAATATTCTTTTTTTTAAACCACTCCATTGTAGCTTTGGCTTTATGTTTAGGGTCGTTGTCCTGCTGGAAGGTGAACCTCCGCCCCAGTCTCAAATCTTTTGCTGACTCCAACAGGTTTTCTTCCAAGATTGTCCTGTATTTGGCTCCATCCATCTTCCCATCAACTTTGACCAACTTCCCGGTCCCTGCTGAAGAGAAGCACCCCCAGAGCATGATGCTGCCACCACCATATTTGACAGTGGGGATGGTGTTTTCAGAGTGATGTGCAGTGTTCTTTCTCCGCCACACATAGCGTTTTGCATTGTGGCCAAAAAGTTCAATTTTGGTCTCGTCTGACCAAAGCACCTTCTTCCACATGTTTGCTGTGTCCTCAACATGGCTTCTGGCAAACTGCAAACGGGACTTCTTATGGTTTTCTTTTAACAATGGCTTTCTCCTTGCCACTCTTCCATAAAGACCACATTTGTGTAGTGCACGACTAATTGTTGTCCTGTGGACAGTTTCCCCCACCTGAGCTGTGGTTCTCTGCATTTCATCCAGAGTCACCATGGGCCTCTTGGCTGCCTCTCTGATCAGTGATCTCCTTGTTCGGCCTGTAAGTTTAGGTGGACGGCCTTGTCTTGGCAGGTTTACTGTGGTGCCATACTCTTTCCATTTCCGGATGATGGATTGAACAGTGCTCCGTGAGATGTTCAAAGCTTGGGAAATCTTTTTATAACCTAAGCCTGCTTTAAACTTCTCCAAAACCATATTCCTAACCTGTCTGGTGTGTTCTTTGGACTTCATGATGCTGTTTGCTCCCCAATATTCTCTTAACCAACATCTGAGGCCGTCACGGAGCAGCTGTATTTGTACTGAGATTAGATTACACACAGGTGGACCCTTTTGAGTCATTAGCAGTCATCAGGCAACTTCTGAATGCAATTGGTTGCACTCAGGGAAAAGAGGGCTGAATACTTTTGCACGTCGCACTTTTCAGTTTTTTATTTGTAAAAAATGTTTTGATTCATGTAAAATTTTGCTTCCACTTCACAATTGTATACCACTTTGTGTTGGTCTTTCACATTAAATTCCAGTGAAATATATTTATGTTTGTGGTTGTAATGTGACAAAATATGGAAAAGTTCAAGGGGTATGAATACTTTTGCAAACCACTGTACAAGGCGTGAATTTAAACTGGAACGCCCCTCCGGTGGGAATTCAGAGTAGGATAGTGGGAGAGTTCAGAATTCAAGACGGCAGCTACTAATCACAGCTCAACAGTGATTAAAAACCTTCCAAAACCTTTTTAAATAGTATTTCTGCATTATTTACTTCACATTAAGTCAGTCATATTTATTTTATTTGTTTTATTTAACCTTTATTTCAACATGCAAAGCATTAAGAACAGTTTCTTATTTACAATGTTGGCCTGAATTGTGTCATACTCATAACACTTTTCATGAGGATATGTTTAAATGCTTTTTCCATGCAGGGAATACCATGTAGAGCTCAATTATTGTTTGTTAGTGGTGCTCAGTTGGAGCAATGAGAGAAGGAACGTGATGTTTTGTTTTTAATGGAATTTAAACGCAAAACATCAAAATTAATCACAACTGGACCTTTGAGCACAAACATGATGCTCATGTGGCCCTCTTTGAAAATGAGTTTGACACCCCCGATTTAGTGCATTTTATAAATTCACTCTCCTCTACTGATCTACACCTATAAAAAGACATCACAGGTCAGAGCAGAACTTTCTTTTAACATGCTGAGCGAGCAAAGTGTGTGTGTTACAGAGACAAGAACTTAACTGAACAGAAATAAAACACCTCCAGTCTGAAGGGTAAAAAGCAATCCCATTGTTTCACTTCAGCTTATTCAAATAACACCAAGTCACAACAAAAACCTCTCTGGGAATGGTTTAGCATCTCTAACTCTTCTTAAACTGGCAGAATGTCATGAAGAGTCTGGCTTGGAAGCAAGTTGTTCTTTTCAATCTGTTGGTTCAACTCACACAAACACACAATCAGATATAACAAACACAAACTTTAATGTTAGTTCGAAAACACAACCTGAGCTGAGCGCCACAACAAATTAGCATATTGATGTTCTTCCACCTACCTTGCTGAGAGGAACGGTAGGATCCCACGGGCCTCTGAGACATCATGTTGTTTCCTTGGCTGCCCTGACCCATCACGCCCATTGCCTGCTGTCCCTGATAGTGTTGGCCTCCAGACTGGGCTGACGAGTAGTGGGGAGGGGCCGACTGTTGGTGCATCATGGAGACTGGAGGGGGAGGTGAGGGAATGATCTCAAAGATTAAAAAAGTGTTCCACATACCAGCATTCATTGTCAGCTTTGAAACTGCACACAAATGTATGCAATTAAAAAATTATTAGTGACTTTCATGGCAATTGGAACACAGAGAATAGCCATAGGGGTTCCATAACAATCAGGTTCTCTTAAAAAAAAGTCTCTTTGAAAAGATGCTTTCAAGATGTCACCTTAGAGGCAGAAATTCAAACAAAGCCAGAAAAGAAGGAGCATATACAATGATACGATAAACACAGACATCCAGAGAGTGTAGGGCTGCATTTCAGGGTCAGAAGGAAAATATTAGGGAGGCTTAAACCTGAAGCAAAAGTAAGAAGACACAAAGCAGGACAGCTCTCTGATGAACTGAATGTGGACAAAATTTATCTTGCAGATACTGTATGTATGGAAGCAAACTGTGTAATCAACGGGGCATTTGGCATGAAAATACACTCACTGACAAAAAAAAGATTAAGTACAGAAAAGAGTGCTGGAAATGAAATTGAAAGGTCATGAAAGCATATTGTAATAATTGAAACTTCTCCTCAAATGGATACCAGAGTTGGCAGTAAGAGCACATTGCAGGTCCCAAGTCAGCAGGGTGTGGCACCCTTGTGCAAGCAGTGCAAAACTGAGTTGTGCAGCTTTTGTTTTCTCTCTGTGATAACTGTCTATCTAATTGGTAACTGGTACTTAAGAGAATGTGAAATTCTACTCTGATCCCAGACATGTTGGACTAACGAAAGATTGCAAAACCTGGTTGACCATAGGAGGACCTCAATACATGCCACGTCTAGACAGGTGCTGTCTTGGAAAGACCAGGGTGCTATGCAAAGAGGGGTAAGACATGCAAACATACAATGTCAGTGATGTAGCTCTGTGCCGTCTGGATCCGCCCAAATCACTTCCAAAGGTGATCTGAAGTACAGACCTGAGATTTATTGTTGAACATGACTCAATATCACTCATCATCAGCTTGATAGTGGAGGGGGTGTTGTGATTCTAAAGTCTGTCTGATGCTAATATGTAAGATGTGATGTGGGATGACACAGGGTGTTGTCCAATACCTGTGTCCAGATAGCAAGTGTTTACATTATCTGGTTGTGGTATACTTGCCAATCAATACATGACAAACCTACTGCATTGTGGTCTGTGGTTGGGCAGCTGAAACTTTCACATAGGTGAGCTCACCAGTGGAGGAGCCAGTACATTTTTATAGCAGTAGTCAGACTGGGACAACTATTCACACAGGCATGACCCAGAAAAGAAATCATACATGGCAATTTGCTAAGGATCTATTCATGTTTTTGGTCATTCTCTTATTTACTAACAGAGGCAGTGATGTATGAGTACAATTCCATCATGAGAATTGCCTATTTGAGGAGTGCAGGCGACTTGAACATTCTGCATATAATGGCTTCACTAAAATGTTGCTGGCAAAGCAGCAGTTGAGGTGGTACCTGCAGTGGCCAAAGGTTTTTTTTATTTATTTTGGCAATGGCCACCCTCTAGTAATGCCCCTTGCCCTCACATATCCATTTGTTCCAACATCAGGCCACTGCAGCTTTTATATTTGTCATATACCAGACAGTTGCACGGTACGACTACCAGGCATCATGGGGACCCTTTAAAGCTCTATCAAGAGCTGTAATGCTATCTAATATGTCTACAAGGCATTGTGTCAGGTGATCTTTACTCAATGTAACTTTTTTGTCAGTGAGTGTAATGTCATCATGCATGTTGCTCCAAATGTTCAAATATTTCACATAAAATAGAAAAAAACAACTTGTGTACTCAAAACTCTTATCCTCAACTTCCAGAATTCACACAACAGAACAAAGGGGAAAAAAGCATAAAAGTTTAGGTTTTGATATACGAGCCTGGGGCCTCATATATCAAAGGTGCATGCGCACAAAAAAGTTGCGCTCACCAGGTTCCATGCTAACGTCGGGATGTATCAAAATGAACGTTGCGTGAAAGTGTCAATCCATTTACCATTCTGAGTCAGTGACCACACAGCAGAGGAGGATAAAATTTGCATGAATTATCTAAAATGCATTTTCATTCCCACTGAGAAAAAACTATGGTCAAATCAGTAGATTATTTCAGAACAACTCACCTGTGATAATTCCTCAGGTTGACAATGTGCAGACAATGTTCATAAATAGCTGCTTAAAGTTGCACATAATTTGTGGAGCAATATAAACTGTTGCTCTGCTGGATGACATCACCACAATAAAAACTGGGGAGGCAGCATTGTTTTTGGGGATCACACTGATCAAATACCAATCAGGTATTTGACTGTATGTTTCCTGAGCTGACCCAGAACAATATGGCTTTACCTGTATGATTCAGAAATAGAAGTCTCCTACATGGCGGCAAAAACTCTCCACCGAGGCTCTGCGGTTTCCTCACATCAACTATTTAAAAAATAAAGCTTTACGCTCTACGAGCCCCCTGATATCCTTTGAGTTTACAATAGTTATGTTAATAAATGCATGTTTCATACACAGGACATATTTGCATCTGTTTTGCATATTAAATAGAGGTGTGTCAGGGGAGGTGTCCCACATGCCCTCAGTTCCACGTTTGTTGAGATGTATGAATGAAAGGAACCCCGAAACATGCATGTGCACAATTTGATACATCTGAATATTTCTGTGCATTATGTACTTTTACGCCAACTTTTAGTATGAAACCTGTGCACTTTTTAATACACGAGGCCCCTGGTTATGATATTTTTCTTTTAAAAAAGCTATACCTGGCTCACCTTGACTGGACTGCATGTTGAGGTTGCTGCGGGAGGAAGAGGAGGAGGAAGAGGATGAGGGCGTGGAGGAAGAGGAGGAGGAGGAACCATAAGTAGGCCCCGGGCCCTGGATCAGACTGCCCTGAGAGGAGGGAGTAGCATGGCTGTACCCGGAGACTGAGCCACCATAGCTGTCGGAAGAAGGAACAGCCGACTGATGGTGACCAGACTGCATGGGGGCATGGCTGGGGCCTGATGACACACATGCACAGTCAGGGGAGGCTTCTCAGGTCTGAGGTCAGGCTAATCACAGTCCCACATTCAGTTCATCCCAACAGCAAGCTTGAGGTGTTCATAAAAAATGGTGTGTGGGTAAAATTGAATCAATGACAGAAAGAAAGGAGAGGTCGACATAGCTGCAAAAGTAATCTGCCATTCTATTAGCTAGATATTTGCAGGTATTAAAGATCGGAAAGCTGATGCAGACAGGACATGCAACAAAAATTTTCAGATCAGCACACAAATAACATACACTAAGTTTGCTTTTCTTTAACTCCAAAATGCAAAATCGTGACTAACCATTACTCATTTGGCTTTGCATCACAGATGTGGGTTGCAGTCCTGGAGTCATGTTGTCGTTGAGGTTATTTGTTGCATGTCCCCCACTCTGGCTCATCCCACTAGGACCCATACTGGAACCTGGGGGCTAAAAGTGAAGACGGATAACTTAATAACATCTCATTTTACTTAGATGCTTCTGAAACCAGCAGACAGACTTACAGCAGGGAGGAGGGACTGCATGTTCTGATTAGAATCAGCTATTGTGGCCAAGTAGACCAGATTTCTGTGCAGGACCTGCTGATACCTGCGGTGGAAAGAGTTTTGGAGAATGTTACTTTTGCAACGTGTAATTGCAAGAAACTAGACTATGTCAAATATAAACAAATACACCTACTGTGTGCATTCAACAGTCTTGCCTTTGCTTTGGTAATCCATAATACATTGTATTAAATGATGATTTTCATCCAGCATCTGTGGAAGTCACAAAACTCCAATCTTTAAGTACAAGGAACATATTGAAGTAAATTCTAAATACCTTGTTGATGATCCACCACCAAAAGTAAATGGTAATATTTTGTGTCGAAGTGTTTGTAATTTTAGCAAAATATCTCATGAACTACTACTTCTAATAATAATACATTTTATTTATAAAGCGCCTGTCAGGACACCCAAGAACACTGTACAATAAAAAACAAACAAATGTAGATATATTGAATGATAGGGTACTGTGAGAGGAACATGAGGAGTACAGAACAGTCATAAAGTAGAATGAAGTAGATAAATTGAACAATAGGGTTGTGCGGGAGAAACATAGAAATGAAGAGTATGAAACAGTCATATATTGAAGTACAATGGCCAATCAATCGGAGTTAAAAGTGTTAAGCTAATCTGAAAAGATGTGTCTTCAGGCCACTCTTCAATAGGGGGAGAGAGGTGGTGTTACGTAATCCATGGGGTACTGAGTTCCAGAGCTGCGGAGCTGAAGGCTCTGCTTTCCATGGTGCTGAGGCAGACAGAGGGTATTGAGAGTTCGAGGGAGGAGGAAGATCTTAGAGAGCGGGAGGGTGTGGAGATGTTCAGGAGGTCAGTTAAGTAAGGAGGGGCAACATTGTGCTTTGAAGGTGTGTAGTAGAATTTTGAAGATGATACAGGATTTAACTGGGAGCCAGTGGAACTGTTGTAGGAGTGATGTGGGCAGAGAAGGAGGTTTGAGTGATTACACAGGCTGCTGAGTTCTGAAGAATCTGTACTTTGTGAAGGGATTATTGGGGAGGCCAAACAGTAGGGAGTTGCAGTAGTCGATCCTGGATGTTACTAGGCTGTGTACAATAATGGCAGTGGAGTGGGGAGTGAGTGAAGGATGGAGACAGTTATTGTTGCGAAGATAAAAGTATGCAGATCGAGTTACGTTGTTAATGTGGGATGTGAAAGAGTGTGGTATCAAGGATGACACCATAGGTTCTTGACCTAAGGCGAGGGGGAAAGAACGGAGTTGTTAAGTGTGAAGAGATGTTGGGATTTAGAAATGGAGTTTTTTGTCCCAACAAGGAGGAGTTCAGTTTTGTTAGGGTTTACAGGTCCTTCTAAAAAAATAGCATATTGTGATAAAGTTCATTATTTTCTGTAATGTACTGATAAACATTAAACTTTCATATATTTTAGATTCATTGCACACTGAAGTAGTTCAAGCCTTTTATAGTTTTAATATTGATGATTTTGGCAAGAAAAGTAAAGAAAAATCAAAAATCCCTATCTCAAAAAATTAGCATATCATGAAAAGGTTCTCTAAACYACTTATTAACCTAATCATCTGAATCAACGAATTAACTCTAAACACCTGCAAAAGATTCCTGAGGCTTTTAAAAACTCCCAGCCTGGTTCATTACTCAAAACCACAATCATGGGTGAGACTGCTGACCTGACTGCTGTCCAGAAGGCCATCACTGCACCTCAAGCAAGAGGGTAAGACACAGAAAGATATTTTTGAACTGGCTGTTCCCAGAGTGCTGTATCAAGGCACCTCAGTGGGAAGTCTGTGTGAAGGAAAAAGTGTGGCAGAAAACGCTGCACAACAAGAAGAGTTGTCAGTCAGTGATGGTCTGTGGTGCCATGTCAGCTGCTGGTGTTGGTCCACTGTGTTTTATCAAGGCCAGGGTCAATGCAGCTATCAGGAGATTTTGGTGCACGTCATACTTCCATCTGCTGAAAAGCTTTATGGAGATGAAGATTTCATTTTTCAGCACGACCTGGCACCTGCTCACAGTGCCAAAACCACTGGTAAATGGTTTACTGACCATGGTATTACTGTGCTCAATTGGCCTGCCAACTCTCCTGACCTGAACCCCAGAGAGAATCTGTGGGATATTGTGAAGAGAAAGTTGAGAGACACAAGACCCAACACTCTGGATGAGCTTAAGACACAAGACCCAACACTCTAGATGAGCTTAAGGCCGCTATTGAAGCATGCTGGGCCTCCATAACACCTCAGCAGAGCCACAGGCTGATTGCCTCCACGCCACGCCGCATTGAAGCAGTCATTTCTGCAAAAGGATTCCCCACCAAGTATTGAGTGCATAACTGAACATAATTATTTGAAGGTTGACTTTTTTTGTATTAAAAACACTTTTCTTTTATTGGTCGGATGAAATACGCAAATTTTTTGAGATAGGGATTTTTGATTTTTCTTTACTTGTTTGCCAAAATCTTCAATATTAAAACAATAAAAGGCTTGAACTACTTCAGTTGGTGTGCAATGAATCTACATATATGAAAGTTTAATGTTTATCAGTACATTACAGAAAATAATGAACTTTATCACAAAATGGTAATTTTTTGAGAAGGACCTGTAGTTGGAGGAAATTGTTGGAGAACCAGTTATTGAGCTCACTGAGGCTGTCGGTAAGAGTGGAGGATGGTAAGGTGGAGTTCGGTTTTGTTGAGATGTAGAAGTGTCGTCGGCACAGGAGTGGAAATGGAGACCAAATTCATGGATAATGTGGCCAAGTGAAAGTAGATAGATTATGAATAGTAGAGCCCCGAGTACAGAATCTTGGGGGACACCAGTGGAGATGAGGGAGGAGCTGAAGGGCAGATTAGAAATGGGACGGAGGTTATTGAAGTTAGTCAGATCTTGACCTGTTTTCTTTACGATGGGGGTAATGGCAGCCAATTTAAAAGCTGTGGGAACAGTACCAGTGGTCAGAGTAGAGAGGGGAGACAGGATTTACCCAAAGCTGTGGGGATGGCATCTAGCTGGGAGGAGGTTGATTTTGACTTCCTAAAGATGACAGAGATGTCAGCGGCAGAGGGGATGACGAAGACAGAGAGGGGGATGGAGGTGTGTGTGTGTGTGTGTGTGGGGGGGGGGTCTATATAGATGTTGGGGGCAGAGTTTGTCCCAAGGTGTTGGTGTATGGAGCAATTTTTTCAGTGCAGAATGACATGATGGAGTTACAACATCACTATGTGAGGGGGTAGAGAGTTCAGAGATGAAACTGTGCGGTTAAAGCACGTGTCAAGGTTTTGGTCCGTGGGTGACTCCTGTGTGGCCCGCCAGCCCCCCCCCCCTTCCCCCCTTTTTTTACTTAACATGAAATTGTTTCTTATATCAATGGTAAACTTTAAATTTAAGATTAAATGCAACAAAATAAATTTAAAAGGTGAAAGATAATAACAATTGTCCTGCCCCTGCTGTTGGCTTTAAGTAACTGAGTAATTTGGATAGCTCAGTATTAATGTCTGAAAATAAGCTTCTTTAAAGTCAGCATCGACCATAAACTGAATCTGCTATAATGTAAACTCAGTGAGTAAAACCTTATTAGTTTTACTTTTAATATTTCTGTATTTATTTCATATTTAGTCAGTCATACACTTAGTTCTTATTGTTTAAAAAGAGTACGTTTTAAAACACTGTTTTGTCAAAGTTAAACAAGAAACGTCAAAGTTCATTACAACTGGCCCTTTGAGGGCCACCATAACGCTCATGTGGCCCTACAGGTGAAAATGAGTGAATCCCCTGCATTAAGTCAACACTGTCTGTTAGCAAAATATATCATGATCCACTAAGCAGAGTTAAATGAAACACTCAGGAAATTATTATTGGGTTCGTACAAATAGCTACCATTTGGACTTAAGAGTGCCGCCACAGCCAGCTAATGAGTAAACACCAAAATAGCAAAATATACAGATAGGTCTTATTGAAATTTGGTGTTGTGGTAGCAGAGTCACCCTCAACACTCTTGAGGGCTAACTAACACATTTTGCACGAGATCAACATTTCATAGAAGGTTGGAGCAAAACAAAAACAAATCTTTGGTAAAATTTCAGTTTGAAACTCCTGACAGGTGGCGGGCAGCATGCATTCCTTCAAACAATGCTGTAGCTTTATTTATTTCTCGTGGAGCCAAATGAGGTCTGACTCTTAAACTCAGGCAGGTGCCTTTTTAAATCCTCCCAAACCTCAAGTCCCAAATTCAATCAATCCGCAGCATCCTGAAGACAGAGGCAGACACCAAGCATCACGGCTTTGTTTGGTTCGCTCCTCCAACTGACTCGAACATTATATAGCTACCAGCTGCCATTTCTTGTGATATTCTCCGCTGGCTACTTTCACACACCCTCGTACAGTGGGGATTCTATTTAAAGGACGCGAGGTTTACCTTCTGAATAGTTTGCTGTGTCACCTCTGCTTTACTCCTGGGGCGCACCGAGGGAAACACCACCGACATTTTGTCATCAGTGAAATAAAAACGCGCTCCTTTTATCCTAACGTTTTTTATTAGTATTATTATTATCTCGAGCGCAGCCTTCTATTTGGTTACGTGGCTTCCTAATGAGAACAGGGAAGGGGGTGGAGGGTGGGACACAGCTCCATCTCTGTGGCCATAAAAGGAAAAATGGATGGCGCATCATAGCTAAAGGAAATCAAATGAGTTTTTTTAAGCAGTTGATAACTCTCCATATATTCTGCATTCAAGTAATGTCGGGAATTGTAAACAGTAAGGTGTTGGGAAACATACCTCTCCCTCAGGTCTTGGTACATCCCAGAGACTGAGGCCGACCGCTAAACGGGGATCCTTTGATTCCTGACAGCCAATCAGTGTGCAGGAGGCTGCACAGCTGCCCATCAGTGCGGAAACGCGCAGAAAGATCGATGGACAAGTTGGGTTTAGTAGCCCAAGAATGCATTTTCTTTGACACGTAAACTGGCATTTTCTGACCTCTCAAAAAGATGTGTATATTAACAAAGCACAAAAAGTAAAGAAATTTGTCATTATTTCTGTGTTGTAACAAATTGGCAGCACCATTATAGCACAAAACTTGTCAATAACAAAATAAGCTGTTTGGCAGAGAATATTTGTCTAATATTTCCTTATGTGCAGTACATACTCTGCTCTAAATGCATGTTCCTTACTAATGTGGAACCATTGGAACATTTCCATCCGTAAAAGATTGACAGCCAAGAAGCATTTTTACAAATAAACACAAATTCCCTTACTTTTTGTGCTGAGTTAAAGCACAAAAAGATATTTGGCGACATCGATTGTTAGGTGTCTTGGTCTCTTGCCAAAATTTGAGCAGCATGACGACTGTTTAAAAAACAATTCTGAATCAAATCTGTTGTGAATTTTGCTATTAAGCTCCTTCTCAAAGACCAGTAACCCAAGTGGTGCAAAAATGTACTGAAACAATGAACAGTTGGACATGTGCATTCAAATGGGAAGCACACACACACACGTTTCATTATATGTTCAAACTGAAATTTCACCTGAAAGCTAAATATTAAAATGGAGCTGGGAAACAGCGAGAGGTGCACATTGTTTAAAAAAAAAAAAAAAGCCTGATTATTTTTTTAAACAGACAGACAATTTAATTATTTTTAAACAGACCTTTAATTTAGTTGATTTATTTGTACAAATGGTCATAGGGTGTTGCCAGGCAAGCTGCAGACAGACAAGGAAACAAACCAAATCTGTCACTTTGTCTCATTTTGGATGGGGACAGAAGACAGATGGGCAGCAGCCACCAAATGCAAGGACAGGCAGCTCTCTGCATTTGCAGTGAACCCTTTTTCCAAGGTAAGAAGGTTAACATACATCATAATAGTGGACAATATTTCAATATTGATTTGTCAGGGTAGAAAACATTTTGTATAACGGATGCCCTAACAAAATTCTATTGTTAGACCTTACACCAGTGCTAGTGCTCAATTTACTCGACTATACCCGCAACAGCACTTCAGTGAGCTCAACAGTTGTGGGTGAACAAGCATCCACAGCTGAAAAAGCTGACAAAATGGTTGATATGAAAATACTTAAATTCAGATACGTGGATGTGGTTCAGATTTTGAAGGTCCCATAAACTTCAGTTTTCAGTCTGCTGTGAAATGTGCCAGAAAGTGGTGCCAACAAGCATCAGGAAATCTGTTCCACCATCTGAAAAATTTCCACTCAGAACTTAGGTGCCCTGAAACATCCATACCAGCAAAAACAATCGCAGTTCAACTACACTCTCCTCAATCACTTCTGAGTGACGTCAGTCATGGCACCTCCACTATTAAGTGACGTAGTTGCAAAGGGACAATATGGACAGTTACTTTCATTGCAAGGTTGGGTCCAGAGTCTTGAACATTTGAGGTTCTACAAAATCTGTTCCTAGGACTGTGCTCTTCAGGTCAGAGGTTGCTCCTCAGCTCCAGAATCAGTTTTCCAGTTTGACCCCACAAATCCACTTATCATTCCAGCTTAAGTTTTTTTTATTATTATTTTTTATTTGTCATGCTCCCCTTTCATGATAAAGTTACTAAAATCCATTACCACTTCCTGATTTGTAACGAGTGTACAATGCCACATATAAAGATCACTATAAAAGTATTAATAAAAAGACAGCAGTCATGTAAGCTAAAATTCAAGACTGGATTGCACAATATCGCAAGGAAGCAGATTCTAGGTCTAGTGGGTGTTTAAATCCCAGTTTATAAACTGACAGTAAGGCCCATTTAGTTTACATCTTGCTGCTGCAACCATTGAGTGTAGCAGAAAGATGTAAACCTCTTGTCAGGATGGGGTGGGGGGGGGGGGAACAAACAAAACGACAATCCAATAGGTTTAAATACAGGTTTTAGTTCATTTGCCCCAAATTTACATTTCTAAATCAAGTACAAACCAAGACTTTAAGGTTAAATCAGTTTCTACAAATAAATACATCTCAGAAAAAAAAAAAAACAACTAATGCAGCAAAACTGGAGACCGAAATAATCTTTTTCTTAAGAAAAAAAGATAAAAAGTTTCAAATTCAAAACAAGTAATCCAAAATAAGAAATTCATCCAAAATAAAGTTAAAGGGACCTTTTACAATCTCATCTAAATTATTTGCCTTTAATTAAACTCTTCCAAACTTTTACAGTTACTCATTCAGGGTTCTGTGGGAAAGAGTCTGAATGGCACCTCGTCCTCTTTGACCACCATATCGACCCCTGTAGCCTGGACCTTTAAAGAACCGGCCCGTGACCCCAAAAGTCTCCAGATTTCTCTTTCGCTCCTCTGCCCAGGTCAACCTGAAACTGATCAGTAAAAAACAAACACTGAATCTGCAACTCATCATGCATCCGAGAGAGAAAGAGGAGGGTTGAATACAAAGACAGCAGTTTACCTGAGACCCTCAGAGGAGATGTTGTCAAAGAAAGACTTTGCTTTGTTGTAGTAGCATTTTGGTCCCGAATCATCATTCTCTGAAGCTGCGTGCAACTTCTTTGATTTATCCACCTCATCATTTTCATCTGCATAGAAAAATAAAATAAGATCCCACTTCCTGAAGCCCTCAGGAGATGATCAGAATGTAAAACTGCTAACTCAAATAGCATTGTGTATGTGGATTCTCCAATCCTTCAGTTGGATGACTAAATTAAGATGTCCATGAGTGTCAATGAAAGTCCATTATAACTGTTGCCAGTAGATTGCAAAAATTAGAGTTTTTGCAGTCACTTCAGTTCAAAACCTACCTGTTGGGTTCATTTCCCCCTGCAACTCTCTCTCAAGCTCCTCCTTCATAAACTGTGCGTTTGATGAAACAAAATCGAAATCAGAGTCAAACTTCAGGATTGGAGATGGAACTTTAGGCATATTTGGCTGGCCTCTACCCCGGATCCTGCGTCTCCGTGTTCCTATAGCAGGGGAAAAATGTCGTTTTTAGGGGGAAAAATATACATAAAAAAAAACAATTTCACCTCTACAAACTTGTTTTTAATTCATTACCTTGTCTTCTCCTGTGTGGCGGCTCATTCTCAGTATTCTGCTGCAGTGGTTCCAGCTGATTAGTGCTCAAACCTGGGCCTGAAGGTTCTTGTAACCAAAAAAACAAAATAAAGACAGCTAGACTTAACTGTTTGCAACCGTACAAGTAAATGCTTGGCATTTGTAAAAATCACTAAAAGTTACTGATTCAAGCTGCTACTTAAAATAAAAACATCTCATTAGCTTTATTCATTGCAATACGTAGGCTTACTGGTGACTCCAGCATCCCTTGGAGTTGAGGAGATGTCACTCCTGGGCCTCTGGAGTCTCCTGCTGCTGCCGCTCCACTGCTGCTCCTGTACGGTCGGACCTCTCCTCTGCCCCGTTCTTTCCACTTGGAAAGTTTGGACGGCCTTTTCCACCATAGGGCCTCGCCTGACGTGCAGGTCTGGAAGCACAGAGCCTGTATGAAGTGTGCAGTCATAAACAACCCACTTCAAAAAGTAAGCAATGTGGATTTATGGGAAGTTTATTTGAAATCAGAATGGGGCAGAGTACTCACCAAGACCAAGAGCTGCAGCAGCATACTGTTGGTTAAGAAGGGAGCCAGCTGCAAGCTGATTGTAGGCTGGGATCCTAAGAGGGCTGAACCGTCCAAGACCCGGATAGACACTTGAGGTGTTTGCGCTGGATGACTGGAAAAATCATGTTAAATTATCACACAGGCATTCAACTAGAGCTTAATCCACAAAGTTGTTCTTGTAGGTTTTTATAGTACTTGTATTATTGCAGGATCTGGGGGCAGGCCGTGAGATCTCGAAGTTTCACACAATGTGATATCCTTGATATCACTTCCTCGGAAAGTTATGTACTCGTAGACATCATCCTTGGACGGCGTTGGCCTGTCAGTGGGTCGTCCCTCTGTTCCAAAACACTTCACTAAACAAAAGGAAAATACACATCTAACGATGTTCCATTCATACTGGATTCTTGGATTGTGTTGACATTTCATCTCACAAGCAAGTTCACATCACTCACCGTTTGCCAGCACAACTGTGGAGTTGATTTTATCAATCGTATACAAAATCCCCTCATATCGGTTCTGGGCTTTGGAAATCAGCCCAATTTTACAGCCAATATATGGCTTTGCTGAAGCCATGGCTGCATGCAATTCAAGACAAAAACTGGTAACTTTTTTACCAAACCGCAACACATTACGCTCTTTAACCAAGATGCATCTGGAAACAATTTATAGACGTTCACAGGTGTCGTGAAACCACGCCCACTGATTGTTTTGTCCTCCTCACCTGCCTGTATCGCTCTAATCAGTGGGTTTGCACAGTTTTGGCACAAGTAGTGGCACCGATTTTACAGAGCATCCCCTACCTTGATCATATGGGTGTTTTTCATTTGAATATTTAAAATGATTATTTTCAGTTGTTATTAACTTAGGTTTAACTCAGATTACTTGTTGCTCCGGGTTTAACACATTCTGCCGCCTGTAGCAAACTAACTAACTCCTCCCTCCTTTGGAAGACCCATGTGCCGGTGCTACTAAAAGGAGTGGACACATTGTCAACCGCTGTTACTTTTCCTTTCATTTCTGACATAAAATAGTTGCATAAATTACACTTAATGATTATGACTAACGTTGGGTATATGTGCAAATGTTCAGTGATAATGATAAACACACTGTCATGGAGTTAAGGAAATCTCAACAAATAAATATTAGAAACTAAACAATTGCCTCCTCACTTAGAGCTACAAAAGAACAATTTTATACATGGAAAGAAAAGCTATTTATAAACTTCCGTTGTCAACAATAATGCTAAAACACTAATCAAAACCCCAAGTGAGCCTCCTATTTGTGATAATGTCCCATTTCTTGGAACATCAGTGAGTGATTGCACTTTTTATTCCAGCGAAAGGAAAGTGACAGCTCTTCTGACACATTCTGCAACTCTAGAGTTTATTTTCTTGAGCGAACCAATCACAACGCCCGATGAGGCCACGTCATGGAAGGTGCATCCAATCAGCGCATGCGTCGCACGAACAAGCGTAGCCTGGCAAAGATGGCGGCGGGCTCCTACTTGCTTAGGGATGTTTTCTTCAACAGAAAGGTGGACGAAAAAGTAGTAAGCGAGCTATTGAGATTTATGGACTCAGAACTTTCAGCAGCAAGTGACTTTTACTTAACGTCTGGTGTTTATTTTACAGTAAATTACGTCGGCAGCTCATGTAGTTAGTGATTGTATTGTTCCGGGCAGCAAAAAAAAAGGGACTTTACAACAACAAGTCAAGTGCTTGATAAAACAGGCAAAAATAGTTGCGCATTCCGGTTAGCTAGCTAGTTTTTGTCACGTTGTTCTGTTAATTTGGCTGACTTAAATTCACTTGTCGGTGTATTCCCAAACTAAAGCGCATTTCAGAAAGTAGTTCAACACTCCTCTTTGCTGTCATGTTTCCGCTGGTGTATGGGTAGGAGTTTCAGGTGGTGACAGCAGCAGTCAGCGCGGGTTCTCCAGCATGGATGGGACAGCTGGAGTCTCTTCGACGGCTGAATCGAGCAGCATGACAGCCGCTCAGAGTCAGCCGAAGCCCGCGACGACCACCGGAGCCGTAGAGGCAACACTTCATCCGGCTGGTGGTGAAACTTTAAATGGAAGCACGGCGGCGGCGGCGGCGAACTGTCACATACCCAGAGGAGGAGGCGAACAACATTCCGACAGCTCACCGTCCGCTGTCACGCTCGCCAACGGACCTGCGTCCGCGAGACAAGAGGGTGCAGCCGGTACTGTTTTCCGAACTTCTTTAAGCGCACAAAACACCGTGACCTCACCTGTGGCTTCGCCTCAGCCTTCAGTGAAAACTGTACCCACAGTCACGCTTGTGAGGCCGCCTATGCAAACCTCTACTAATGATATACAAAGCAACCCAACCACTGTTTTAACACCCTTGCCGAGCGTGAGCGTCACCTGCGCGACGACTGGCTCTACTCCTGTCAACAAGGCTGACTCCATCAAAACCATCATGCAGACTGGAGTCCAGGTCGTGGCTTCCACGGGTGGGACGGGGACAACGGCGACCGTGAGGAGTCCGACTGTCTTGCAAAACTTGAGGACTGCAGCGCCGTCAACTATCACTGCCACCGCTCCTCCTCCTGGTGGGATACGAACCATTGCTCCACAGGTGTTGGGTCCTCGGCTCAGTCAGCCTCAACGAAACGCCACAACTGTCCAGATCACTCCAGGTAGCAAAGTTTTAAGATTTAAGATCATGTGGTTTACTTTATCAGACTGTAATATCATGCTATCGGTTAAAAACGCACCTTATGTATCGACTTGTTCTTACAGGTTTTGTAGAAATGACATCTTATGTCTTCTGAGATCACAACCAACAGATTAGAGGTGGACAAGGTTCTAACCAAAAATAGTTGAAACTCTAAGACAATCAACCAGTTTTTTTCCAGGTTTGGTTTAGCTAAGGGACATTTTGTTTCAAACTATTGAATTGTATTTATTTGCCTTTTTGAGACAGTAACACTCTGTTCTCCTTTCAGGAGTCCCCTTTTTACTTTCTCAACTAATCTGTGTGTTCTTTAGGTAGTTTGCACATTATTTTAGTGAGGTTGTTCTTCTCAGTCCCACTCTTTTTGTTAGTTCACCTTTTAGATAGTTTATTTACGTCAAGTTTTTTGTGGTAAGTCAATTGTAGCTGAGTAGTTATTAATAAAAAAAAGATCATCTTATCTTCAGGGTATCCAGTTTGAAGCGGCTCTATCCACAACGCTAAATGACCCAACGTAATTAAGACGTAGTAGTCTAAACTTTTAACATTTTGTAACTTGAACTGCTTTGTTGTAGGTCACTGTGTCAATTCAACTCAAATTCAAAAATACTTTATTGATCCCAGAGGGAAATTAGGTAATTAGGTCAAGAGTCGAGCCACTTATTTCACAAGCCACCTGTTTGATTGGCTGACTAAAGCAACATTGCTCCAGTATGTAGTAACACCCTGACCCACAATAACATGCCAGAATGTAGATAAAACCTTTACTTTGAGCTGTGTTGCTGTGAGAAGGTTTCTAAATTGTTACTGACTGGAAGGAAATCTCTAGGACTTTCATATGACTTTACCTTTAACTCCTCTTTAAAGACAAAAAAAAATGCATAAATGTTTACTATTAAGGATAAAAGCTGTGACTATGATTTTTTTAATCCTCCTGTCATTTGCCTCATGCAGGCATGGTTCTGCTCCGCAGTGACAGTGGGCAACTGATGTTAATTGACCAGCAGGCCTTGGCTCAGGTGCAAGCTCAGGCGCAGTCGCAAAGGGCCATGACACCACGACCTGCGACCCCCACCAGCACTCCACCTGTGCAGGTCACCTCTCTGCAGGTCTGCTGGACACACTGGCCCAGGAAAACACAGACAATTTAAACTCATTCCACACACATCACACATTTAATTTGTAGTACTGGAACAGATTTTTACACCAAAACTAACACTTAACAATCAGACATGAGGGAGGCAATACTGTTAATTTTAATAACTTGACTATAAGGTTTTGTAAATTATCATTTTGCATGTACGTGTACTTCTAAGAAGTCAATTTTATGGCCTCATTGCACCCAGATAAATAACCTTAAAAGGTTTCTTGTGTAAAAATATGCAGATTTTCAAATGAAATAGAACACTGATGTTGGGACAGTACAGTTTCTTGCACTACATGAGACATGAATTGATTTTTAACTACTGCAAAAAATACAAATTATATATA